CAAAGGAAAATATGGAAAAAATAGCAAAGACAGAAAGATCCATGGAAAGACAAATGCTGAACATTAAACTATCAGACAAAAAAAGAAACGAATGGATCCGTAATAAAACAAAAGTGAAAGATGTCTCAACCCAAGTAGCAAAGCTTAAATGGAAGTTCGCTGGACACACCCTAAGGCAGAAAGATGAAAGATGGACTAAAACAATTATACATTGGAGACCATGGAATCACAAACGTAAAAGGGGAAGGCCACAAATGCGATGGTCAGATGACCTGAAGAAACACGCCGGGTCAAAATGGATGCAAATTGCCCAAGATAGAGAGGCATGGAAGAAGGAGGAGGAGGCCTATATCCAAGGATGGATGTTAAGGGCTGTATAGATAGATAGATATGATGAAGAGCCTTCAGTGATGATAATCACTGAGTTAGAGATATATGACTTGGTATCATCTCAGACTACTGAATAACCAAATTGCGTAGTCTCATGGAAAATACAAACAGGGTACAGAAGAGTAGATCAGCTTAAAAACTACTGAAGAATCTTTGCCAGGACCGTGGTCAAAAAACAAGCCATTTCCCAAATGTAAACACCAAATCAAGTGGCCTCACAACTTTAAAAACGGTAGAGCCTGCAAAAAGGAGGTTTAGAAAAATTCAAAATAGGTTAAGATGAAACCATTCTAAGCAAACCTTTCAGAAGTTACTTCAGATTGCACGCTGTCAATAAAAACTGTTTGAAACTTAAAGACAAGAAAAAAATTTCTTCGCAAGCTTGCAAATCAAAGCTGATGCGCACTCTATTTCAGCCTTAAAACGTCGACGTTTACACTTTTTATGTCTGCTCTTAAATATATCTCGCTAATATGGGATCCATTAGCACACAAGACACGCACATGTAGCTATTAATGGGTCAGTAAAAATCATCAATGGATATCTGAGACACAAATATGTAAGCTCTGCCCTATCTTAGATCTCACTTCACCTATTATTCCAAGAGATATAACTAGAGATGTGAAATGAAAGAAACAAACTCGTAATTCTCGACATACACTCCACGATTACCACTTTATCGCACGAAGATTTAAATAGAGGAACAACTCTGATCAGATCAACACCTCTGGAAGATACACCATAAAGAACTCGTTCTGCTAACTAGGAAGACAAGAAAGAATTCATTCTGTTAAATAGGAAAAGCTGTTTCTCGCTGTCTGTACCTCAAGAGGAACTTTCGTCTAGTAAACATGTTACTTACACTGTCTAAAGGACTATTAATCATCTGCAAGTCAGAGGGGCCAAGTGTAAAACCAACATGGAAAAATAGTGACTATTGTCTCCTGACTCCGATATTCTGTGTGAATGTGGAGCGGTACAAGACTTAAGAAATCTACATGGTCTCCTGCATGAAACTGGCATGGCCATTCAGATTGTTATTTTCTGAATGGAAGAAATTTAAATTTTTAAACTGGACACGTAAAATACTACTACTACTAAGGATTTCCACAGTTTTCACTGTCTTCCTTCACTCAACCGTTTTCTCCAATTTTCCCTGTCATTCCAGTCTCCATCTCGCAGGGTTCTTTTCTCCATAGCCTCGTCGATTTCGCCTCTGAATGACCTTCAAGGTCTTCTTCTCTTTCTTCTTCCGATCAAGCTCCATTCTGTGATTTTGTTTATCCAGCCTTCTCTGACCGCTCTTCTGACGTGGCCGTACCAGGATAATCTCTTCTCCTCTATATAGTCGATTATGTCTGATTGCACTCCCATTCTCCGCTTAATCTCTGTGTTTTTAATTCTGTCTCTTTTTGTACGTCTACAGCTTCTCCTCAGGAACTCCATTTCTACTGCTCTTTCTCTTGTTTATTGTCCTGTTTATTGTCCAGTTTTCGGACCCATATGTCAGGATACTTCTTGTCAGGGTATTATATATTTTCTCTTTGGTCTTTATCGTAGTGTTCTTATCCCACAGCACTGAATTTAGTTGTACAGTTGTACACTTATACAGTTTCTTGTTTGTCTTAGTCTGTTGTTTATATCTTCTTCTGTTGTTCCCTGGTTCGATATTATGGTTCCTAAATACTTGAATTTATCTGTTCCATTTACTTGTCTTCCCTCGTCCATCTATAGGTCTCTCATATCCTTGTTTTCTGTTGTTAGGTATTCGGTTTTCTATAAGTTTATTTCCATAAGTTTCCATTTCTATAAGTTTTGAAATTCTTCTTCTAGTTTTCTGAGCATCAAGCTGAGATCTTCTTCACCTTATGCGATGACTACTTGATCGTTGGCAAAACTTAAGGTGTATTCGTCTCTTACCGGTATGCCCATTCCTTCGCACTTTCTCCTCCATGGTTTGAGTGTCTTTTCCAAGAATATTTTAAACGGAGTAGGGGACGTAGCACAGCCTTGTAGGAGTGCTTTTGTCGTCTTAAATGGATTGTAGGCTTTATTTCCACATTTAATAGCTACTTTGTTTTCTTTGTACAGTGCTTTAACTGCTTTTATTAGTGTTTGTTGGATTCCGAGATCATTCATTGCTTCCCATAATTTGACTCTAGGTATTGAGTCGTATGCTTTCTTTAGATCAACAAACGCCAGATGAAAGTAAAATAAAGTTAGTAATTTCAAGGATTAAAAAAACAATTATCGAAGTTTAAATAGAAAGATCCATGATCATATAACAGAAAGTTATCACACCAAGTTAATAAATAATAAAGGTAATAATTACTCTCGCTTCAAAAAATTGTTGCTTGTCCCATCAGTCAATTATTTTCATTACTTCAATTATTTTCATTCATTCATTTAGTCACCAGTCGACTTGACATCGATAAAAATTTTCGTTTTCAATGTTCACTCAACACATTTATATATTACACTAGAGCTCATATACCGCACAATAACTATGATCACGTAATTGTGTAATTTTCAATTAGATCCTTTCCATATTTTAAAACTTTGATTTTAGCCTAAGGAGTATACTCATTGACATTTCAAATGTACCTTGCCCACTCATTTCTTCATGACATGCAATTTAAATGTTTTCGATGAATTCAAGTGGAACATCTTTTAACGCGGTATACGGAAAATATATAGTTTGTTGTCCCAAGATGTTACATATTTTTATGTATTTAATAAAAGCTATCGCTTTAATTGTATTGTTTTAGTGTCTTTTCTATTTATATATCAATCACTTCGTATATTAGACACCAATCAATTAAGGATCACTCGAAGGGTGGTGGGGTTTTCGGTCTAAAGGTGGAGAAAAAAGACAAAGAAAGTGGCTAGATCATCTATTTATTGAAGACGTTTGGTTTTCTAATTAGAAAGCATCATCAGTTCATCTAAAAAGAACAATATAAAAAACCAAACATCCATAGAAAAGTCATTATAAGTGTGTTACTTGAAAAAGACAGCAAAGAAAGCTTAAGACGTTGGACATTAAATAGTTATGTCACAGTATAACGAGGTTCCAGTAATGGAACCTCTTATACTGTGGTTATGTTGTATAAACAATTAATTGAAACTAAATACAGTTTACAAATTAACTCAAACTTAGAACAGCAAAAGACCATGTGGCTATTGAACACGTAATATAAAAAGTATGTAAAAAAAAACTTATGTCAAAAACAATAATTATTAGCCGAGACCTAACAAGATTATAATATCACACTTCCAATAGTATCTTCTTATTCTTCGAGTAGCGTGCCCAAGTTTTAGGCGTGGGTAGTTTTCCATGACGATTTGGCGATATCGTTCTCGATCTTGCGTGGCATGTAATAATTCATCTGCTGATAAGCCAGTCCATTGACTAAAGTTTCGGAGCCATGAGTATTTTCTTTCTGCCAATCCTTCTTCTTCCGTCGATCTTTCTGTTGAGTATCAACTGCATTATCCTGTATCTACTTCCTCTCATTATATGCCCCAGATATTCGAGTTTCCTCTTTTTTATCATCTTTAGTAAGTCACCTTCACCTTGACCTACTCTGTTCAAGATTTCTCTGTTTAAAATGTGTTGAACCCAACAGTATCTTCTTCTTTATGTGCCATCGCCTCTAAGAAGGTTGGCAACCATCATGGCAATTCGCACCTTCGACGCCGCTGCTCTAAAGAGGTCAGCAGAAGTGCAGTTAAACCAAGCTCTCAAATTATTCAAACAGGAGATGTGTCTTCTTCCGCGACTCCTTCTACCCTCTATTCTTCCTTGCATTATGAATTGCAACAAGTTCTAACGCTCTCCCCTTATAACATGTTCCAGATACTGCAGTTTTCTGACTTTAACTGTATTTAAGACATCTTTATCTTTTCCCATTCTTCTCAACACCTCGACATTCGTGACTCTACACAACTTATTCTTAATATCCTTCTGTAGGCCCATAACAATAGATGGCAGAAAAATAGATGGCAGAAGAAGCATCGGAAAAAGACGAATTTCATGGCTGAAGAACCTGAGAGAATGGTTTGGATGCAGCTCAAAACAACTATTTAGAGCTACTGCCTCAAAAATTAAGATAGCTATGATGATGCCAACCTCCGTAGCGGAGATGGCACCTGAAGAAGAAGAAGAAGGCCCATAACTTGAAAGCTTTTAATCTGTCCGAAATATCTTTCTTTAATGTCCAAGCCTCCAACCCATAAAATAATACGGACAACACGTAGCATCTCAGAAGTATCAGAAGAAATTGAAATGTCCCTGCTGCAGAGTACTTTTTTCAGTTTGTTGAAAAAATTTCTTGCCTGTCCTATTTTTGCCTTAATCTCTTCTGTGTAATCATTATTTTCATTAATTATTGTACCCAAATATTTATATTTTCAACTTTTCACTCACGAATATCAAAAGTATAATTTGTGAATTGTGTGGGTCCTGGCTTTATATGTACAAACATCGTCTAAGGTATTTTACTATTTAAAGTTTTAACATTAGTTTTCCATTTGCACCTGTTTTTCCAAGTAGTTCTGTTGAAGTTGGTTTTATTATAAATTCAAAGACTGTAACATTTCTCACAGTTTTAGTTTCTTTTTCTTTTACATGATGTTGTTGAGGATGTCGCAATTACTATATCTTGTTCTATAAAAGCGATAATATCATCATCAATTTCAAGAACTTGAGGAGAAAAATCCGGATCATTCAAACTGTCATCCAGGTTCTCATCGTCTGAATCTGCACTATCTTCTACTGCCTCATTATCCTCCTCAGATTCGCCGGAATCGCTTAGTTCACTGTCTAGAAATTTTTTAGTAGAATTTGGAATAAGGAGAAGTTATAAAATAAATTTTAAAGCAATTAAATACTCAGAAATTATATTAAGAATGTTAAACTATTATCACCTAAATCATCCAATCTATATGATATACCCCTTAAGCTCCTTTTTATAAATTTGAGCAATTAGGGGTAGTTTTCACACATAAAAATTAATTTTTAAAGGGTAGAAATAGATATAAATTATAATTAGGGTACCAGGCAATCAATATTTACTTCATCTAAACAAAATTTTAAAAATGAGGTCATTCTTCTGTAATTATAACTTGAAACTTCAACTTCGAAAGCGTATGGTTAAATGCTACATTTGGTCAGTCCTCTTATACGGTGTCGAAGCATGGACATTAAAAATATCCACCATTAATCTTCTGGAGGCCTTTGAAATGTGGCTGCACAGACGTATACTAAAAATTCCATGGACGGCGATGCTGACAAATGTGGCAGTCCTTGAGAGAGCAAATGCTGCTCGCGAGTTGCTTGATAACATCAAATGTAGAAAGATGGCCTATTTTGGACACGTAGTAAGGGGAGACCGATATAATATTCTTCAACTTATTATAATGGGTAAAATCGAAGGACGCAGAGGAATTGGTAGAAAGCAGGCCTCTTGGTTGAAGAATATCAGAGAGTGGACAGGAATAAAGAAAGCTGAGCAACTCTTTAGAATAGCTCGAGATAGAGACAGTTTCGCCATGTTAATCGCCAACGTCAAGGGGACTTGATAGGGCACGTTAAGAAGAAGAACAAAATTTTACTTTGTTTAAGCATTTATATAGACTTTCGAAACAGGAGTAGTTTTCACCCAAAAAAATAAAAAGCGCTTGTCAGCACAATACAGATTTTAAAGTAGAAGATAAGTTGAACTTTATCTAAAATTTTTATGCAAATAGATCTTATTCGAAAATTTTGAGAAGTTTTGACTAATTTTAAGCTTTATTTCCTGGAGTGTATGATATTCTTTTTTAGATTAGTAAACTTTCTCGACTCTTGAGACTCGTCCTCCCTCTGTTTTATTAGTTCTATTCAACGCCGAGTATTTTACTTTCTTGATAATAACAATTGTAATTTATCTTACAAACTTATAATTTGTCTTTTAGATTGGCCTTTAAATAACATACTGTAATTGTCCATAAATCAACAAGTATTTATTAAATTTGAATCTTTTAATATCTCAAGCAATACCAATATCGAAAGAGAGAAAGTGATTTCAGCATATACATAAAATAAACGGTCAACAATATTTCATTAAATCCAATTATCTATTTAAGAAGCATCTTATAACACTTCCTAAAATATCTATTGTTATTAAATCGTTTGTAAAAACCAATTAAAATGTCATCCAAGCAATTTATTTATTCTCACCTTTTTGGTCATTGCAAATAAATTCTCTTTGTTTATGATTATAATATTTATTAAGTGTATAGTTATGAAATAAACGAATGTTTCCCAGGTGAAGAGAAAGGGATGAGTTTAATAAAAATAAACTCTTAAAAATCTCTAAAAAAATTAAATTAAATAAGTTCAGTAAAAATGAAACAATACATTATTGACATGCTATTAACAGTGCACAGGGTTCTCAAAATGAAAACTGAAAAAGTCAGGCACACTCGATGGTTCTGAAAAAAGATTCTTATAGCTCCAGAGAAGTAGATTAAAACTTTTCTTAAAATTTTAATAATTCTTAAATTAAAACTAAATGTTTTTAAATTTAAAAATAAAATTGCAAATATAATAAAAACTAGGATTTATAGTATTATTGGGTAATAAATTTTGATAAATAACTAAATTAAACAAAAATATATATACTGCGTGTTATGTATGGTTTTCACGTACGCATATACTTGGCAACGTTGCACTTGGTAAATGGAACCACCGGTGACAGCAGACAGCGGTGACATGACAACCAGATGACAACAAACTTAGGTTATGGACTCCATGTGAACAGGAATAATGTTAATTTATATATCCTTATAAAGCTTAATAAATTAATGAAACCTATCGTAAGTATACTCCATTCCACGAATATACGACTGTTTTAAATTCGCTTTAAGGTGTCGATTTAAATGGTCCAATGTACTGAATTGTACAATAGTAAATTCTCCCCATTTTTAAAATACTGTTACGACAGATATAAACCTTAGATTTAAATATGAAGTCATGATATAAATATAAAGTTAATAGTTTATAAAACAGTTGTAATTCAGATTTTGAAGTATATAATTACTATCATGGAGTTTATTTTTTCATTTCAATTATTTCATTGTAAACAAGTTGGTTTTTGAATTATGTGATTTAAACGAAATGTAACAATACTTAAGTGATCAAATAGTGTAAATTTTTTAGTCGAATATTCAATTAATATTAAAAAAACAAAAAAACTTATTCACTTATTCTCTTAATCTTCTAAAACTATCATCAACGATCAGATTCACAGCCATAATCAGTCGGCGATATATGAAACTGTATATAAATTTTCGTTACTTTTTAATATCTGTAACGACTCGGTACTTTAACTATCAATAGCCGGTATGTTATACCCGTTACTTTCGGAACTTTTAAGAGTACATAAACTCAAAGCAAACAAATATTTAAAACTAACAAAGTGAAATATTAGATCCTTTTTTCTGGTTTGTGAACCATCGTTCTGCCAATTTCTTTTCATTTATATTAAAAATAGTATATTTCTTTTTATTACAGTTGTAATACCTAATAAAGTAATAAAATGTGTTATATCAAAGAAACCCGGCACGCCTCTTTGGTGTTTACATTTCACGGAAAGCTTACCCAAATGTCTGATGAACACATTTGGCTTCATAGACGTCATTGTATTTATTTGTAGATTTTAACTGAAATAATTTTAGTTTAGATGTCATACTAGTAGACCCTTTTTATTGGAATAATGATTAGACCAATTGACCTTCATACTTCTACTTGCACAGTAAAATATTCGTTGTCGCAGTAAACCAAAACAGTCGTATATTCGTAGAATAGCCTATAGCTTTATGTTATATTATTATGTCCAACAGTCCTAAAGAGGAATACATTACACTGCGGTAAACTACTAGTTGAGAATTCTCAATATTTATGACTTAACAGGTTAAACGCAACGAGAAGCAAGTGTACGTCACTGAACTTACTGACGCCATAAGATGCACCGTTGTGTATCATATCCTTGATGTATTTCAGGCTTCGTGGTATATCCCACTACAGTTTCGTCAATGCAAAGTTCTTCCCCCGGAACTATCACCCTTTGCAATACCCATTAATTTATTTAGAATACAGTTTCTCAGTAGCCTGATAAAAAAGTTTCTAGCAATAAAACAACATATTTTTATAAAACTTGAAACTAAGTTTTATTTATATATATAACGTAAACAACTGTTTTTTTAGTGCAACAGATCAGTTTATGTTCTTTAAAATTAGCAATTCATGCTATTGGTTAAGAAATTAATGAAAAATATAATATGCGTTTACATCCACATGTCTATAGATTACAGGAATGAACTCCACAAAACACGTGGTACAATATACTGTATTGCATTTTTTTCAGTTTTAGTTTTAGTTTTAGAGTTTTAGTCTGTGCAAATTTTCTATTATCATCTGCTGAATTTTTTGCGTAACATATGCCACATTTTCTTCTGTCCGAACTTTGCATTTTCTCTATATGGTGACCTTCACGAGCATGTGGCATCTGTTGCTCTGGTTTAGTTAGTCTAGAGAAATCTATCAGTTGACAAACCATCTCTTCCTTGAAAGATGTGATGGACATGTTACTGTTGGTTAATTTTTGGTAAACTATATAGGCGTTGACAATAGGTGACTGATACCATTCCACTGATTTTCCTAATGCTGTAAAATAAGACTTTATTTAGTCGGGTATATCTCTAAATACTTTACTCTTATTGTAGTCGAAAACAGAAATAACTATTCCTATCCTTTGATGGACGTTTACCATTTCAGCAGCATGATTTTTACTTTCTTTAATTTTGCACTTGTCACTTGGCACTTTTGCCTCAAAGTGCCCACCAAATTTGTATTCTTGTTTAGCAACCTATGTGCAAATGTAATGCTAGTATAAAATTGTGTGTTATAGTACGTCAAACATCTAATAGGTTATTGACTAAACGAAACACAACACTATCCGGAACTGACATATTTTTAGTTTGATCATTACCACAATAAATTTGTAGATCAAGTATAAACTTTATCCAAACAGTTTGTATACCTTCAGCCCTAATTTATACCTCTTGTTTTTAAGATAGTGCCTAGAGATAAGAGTCGGCCCCTAAACGGAACTACAGTTTCGTCAATGCAAAGTTCTTCCACCGGAACTATCACCCTTTGAAAATTTGATACCAACTTCTTCAATAGAGGTGATAGTTTATACAGTTCAAGTTATTTCTCACTATTTTCATTGTCACTAAAGTGTAAATTGGCAAGTAATAATTCAAAACGATTACGCGACATAAGATATTTTACTTTGTTTTCATGTAATGGATTTTTTAACCAATACGAACACAACTTTGGCAATCTTTGCAATCCCATCCAGTTAAGAATGGTCAACAAGTCTTTATTTCTTTGGTATTTATATGTATTGATTTATGAATTCTAGCTTTTGGATCGTGATTCGCTACATTCAACTTTTGATGTGCATATCGAATAGTTTCTTGCACAGTCTTGCATATTCGATAGCATATGAATAGGATAATTTTATTATAGATCTCAAAAATCTCAGCTTTGATAACCGAGTCTTGAACACTAAATGTAACATTTTTTAAGTTCTGACCCTCTATATTGTTCCGTATCGAGGGTGTATTGTGATCAATTGCAATGCCATCATATTCTAAAGAGATTTAATCATCTAGCAGTATTTTAAAATAACATTTTCAGTAGTATCGTATTGTCTACTGTTCTTGAGTTTTGCGACTTTAAAGGCAAATCTTGTAAATCACATACACACTACA